GAATACAGACAATTCTCCCACACCAGAACAAGAAGATGAGGACATCAGGGCCAGTCACCCAGCTACCCAGAAAACCGCAGAGAAAGAAATAAAATTAGATATACAGGAGTAAAAAAGATAAAATCCCAATGGCAACAGGTAGATGGGATCATTTAAGATAAGAAAAGCTGGCAAAAAAAAAAAAAACAAGCAAAGCTAAGGCCGGGCATTCGCAACTAAAAATAAGCCTCTGTATGTGATTTATTTGGGAGTTAAGTGGTGGGCCCCTCAAATGAGTCAAAAGGGTAAAATTCACACAACAGATAATAGTCAGTAATTCAGCAGGGTGTGGTAGGGCTCTGTGAGTCACCCTTTGATCTATGATTGACTACTGACAGGCCAAGTCTTGTGCAGGCCCAGTGTGGATAACTTCTGCTGCTGTGAGGTCATGCCTATAGTGTGACATCATGCCTAGATCATGACTACAGTGTGAGATCACAACTACAGTGTCAGGTCAAGACTACAGTATGAAGTCAAGACTACAGTATAAGGTTTTGCCTATAGTACAAGGTTATGCCTACAGTGTGAGGTCATGACTATAGTGTGAGGTCACAGCTACAGTGTGAGGGCACAGCTACAGTGTGAGGTCACAACTACAGTGTGAGGTCATGACTACAGTGTGATATCACAACTACAGTGTGAGGTCAAGACTACGGTATGAGGTTATGCCTACAGTGTGAAGCCATGACTACAAAGCCATGTCATGACAAGAAGACAGAATTTCACAGTCTTCCTCCCAATATTTTTCCACTGCCTAAGCACTAGTGATTTCTTTTTGAAGTCTTCTCTCATACAATAGATACCAACCACAGTTTCCCCTCCCCTCTCTCAGAACCATTCCACCTCTATCTCAACTTTTTTTTTTTGATTAGTCTGATTTTACAAGTTCTTTTTTTAACATCTTGACCTCAGTTTCCTCTCCCTCCTCTCCTCCCAGTCACTCTCCTCTGTCCCCTTCCCCCATCTACTCCTCTCTCTTCAGATAAGGGCAAGCCTCCAATGGAAATCAACCAAACACAGCGTATCCAGTTGCAGTAAGACTAGGCACCTTCATTTGTATTAAGGCTGGACTAGGCAATTTAGTAGGAGAAATGGGGTCCCAAAAGCAGGCAAAAGAGTCAGAGAAAGCCCCTGCTCCCACTCTTGGGAGTCCCAGAAGAAGGCCAAGCTACATAGCTGTCACATACAGAGGGCCTAGGTCAGTCCCATGCAGGCTCTCTGGTTGTCAGTTCAGTCTCTGCAAGCTCCCACAAGCCCTGGTTAGTTGATTCTGTGAGTTTTCTCATGGTGTTCTTGCTCCCTCTGGCTCCTACAATCCTTCCTCCCCCTCTTCTGCAGGTCCCCAAGTTCTGCCAGTTTGTTTGGGTATGGGTCTCTGCATTTGTTTCCTTCACTTGCTGGATGAAGCCCCTCTGATGACAATTGAGCCAGGCGTGTTTGGTTCTATCCTAGGTCTCTGAGCCATCCAGTCTCTGGGTCCTGGGCCTCCAGGCAGGGTTGGAATGGGATCCCTCTCTTGGTATAGGTGTCAAGCTGGAACAGTCATTGGTTGGTCGTTCCCTCAATTTCTGCACCACATTTACCACGGCATTTCTTGTAGGCAGGACAAATTGTACCTTGAAGGTTTCGTGCCTAGGTTGATGACCCAACACTGGAAGTCTAACCTGGTTACAGGAGATGGCCAGTTCAGGCTCCAAATCCCTCATTGCTAGGAGTCTTAGCTAGGGTCACCCAGGTGAATTCCTGGGAGCATCCATTGCACTGGGTTTCTAGTCATTTCCGAGATGTCCACCCTGATTTCAGGTGTCTCTCCCAGTACTCTCTTCTTCCATCCTCCCCGCAACCCATACCCTCCTATTCCCATCCCTACCCATGCCTCCACATGACTAATTCACCCTCAAAGTTTGCTGTATTTTCCCTTCGCAGAGTGAATCATGCTTTCCCCATTCAGCCCTCCTTGTTACTTAACTTCTCTACATCTATGGATTGTAGTATGGTTATCCTTTCCTTTCGAGATAATATCCACTTATAAGTACATAGCAGTTTCAAAATACAAAATTACTTATCCTATATCACAATTGGCTAAAGGTTAGGTAAAGCTTAGCTGTTTTTCTGATTGGTTGTCTCTGCTTTGGGAGGGTTTCTTTGCCCCCAGTGACTGTCCCCTGGTCACGTACTCAGAACATTTGCTGACCCTTTGCAAACACAGGATCTGTCTAGAGACCTATCTAATTGGTCCATAATTTCTCAACAGGTAGGGGAAGTTAGATGGCCAACATTCTATGTATAACTACAGGTGGAGGAATGGGCTACAGTCAGAACTTTGTGTAACTTAGGTTTCTCCATTAGCTAATACTTCCCTTAAAGAAGAGTCCCATGCCCTCCAGCTTATTCTGGGGGTTGGGATGTAGTTTCAAAGTCCCAAAAGAACTCAGCACAGAAATGGAACCATTTCTGACCTTTCACTACTTCGGTTCATTTGCTCAGAAAGAAATTTTCAACCTTTTACTCTGAGGTAGGTAATGCCTACCTTTGATGTTGAGGTGTGTTTCTTGTATGCAACAGACAGATCCTGTTTTTACATACACTCTGTTAACCTGTATCTTTTTACTGGAGAATTGAGTTTGTTGCTATTGAGAGACATTAATGATTAACAATGACTTTTAATTCTTGTTATTTTCTTAGTGGTGGTGGTTGTGGGTGTGTGTGGGTGTGTGGGTGTCTTCTTTTAGTTTTGCTGGTGTGAAATTAATTATCTCCTCTATTTTCTTGGGTGTAGTTAACCTCTTTGAGTTGGAGTTTTCCTTCTAATACCTTTTGTAGGGCTGGATTTATGAATAGATATTATTTAAATTTGACTTTGTCAAGGAATATCTTGTTTGCTCTGTCTATGTTGACTGAAAGTTTGCTGGATATATTAATCTGGGCTGGCATCTGTGTCTCTTAGAGTCTGGAAGACACAGGTCCTTCTGACTTTTAGAGTGTCCATCAGGAAGTCAAGTGTAATTCTAATATGTTTGCCTTTATATATTACTTGGACTTTTTCCTTTATAGCTCTTTTCTTTCTTTCTTTTTATATACATTTAGTGTTTTGATCATTTTGTGGCAGGGGGAACTTTCTTTTCTGGTCCAATCTACTCATTGTTCTATAAGTTTCTTGGACCTGTATAGCCATACACCTCTTTAGGTTAGGAGAATTTTCTTCTATAATTTTGTTGAAAATATGTTCTGGACCTCTGAGATGAGAATCTTCTCCTTCTTCTGTTCTTATTATTCTTAGTAAAAGGAAAACTATCAGCTCAAGAATCCCAAGACAAAGTTCTGAGCACAAAGATTTATTTGCCCCAGAGGGACAAACAGCAGGGACTAAGAGAAAAAGACAGGATATAGAGGATGGGGGAGAAGGGGAAGGGAACAGAGAGAGAGCAGGGGTTTTTGTCCCAGACAAAGGACTATTTGGATAGAGAGGAGACAGATGTGGCCCATAGGAAAATGGGAGTTTATAAGGGTAAAAGGTAAAATCCATGTTAGGATGAGATGTTTAATTTTGATTGGCCATATAAATTAGGATATTCAAAAGGGGCTTTTTTAAATTGTTTTTATTGAGCTATATATTTTTCTCTGCTCCCCTCCATATTTATCCCCTCCCCTTCTACCCTCTCCCATGGTCTCCATGCTCCCAGTTTACTCAGATCTTGTCTTTTTCTACTGCCCATGTAGATTAGATAGATTACATATGTCTCTCTTAGGGTCCTCTTTGTTGTCTAGATTCTCTAGGATTGTGACTTGTAGGCTGGTTTTTGTTTGCTTTATGTCTAAAAGTCACTTATGAGTGAACACATATGATATTTTTCTTTCTGGGTCTGGGTTACCTCACTCAATATGATGTTTTCTAGATCCATCCATTTGCCCACAAATTTCAAGATGTCATTATTTTTTTTCTGTTGTGTAGTACTCCATTATGTAAATGTACCACATTTTCCTTATCCATTCTTCAGTAGAGAGGCATTTAGGTTGTTCTCAGGTTCTGGTTATGACAAACAATCTAATGGTTTTTAGCAAGGCAGAGGGAATCAGGGAGAAGGGAAAGGCCTGCCAGAGTCACGCTTACCACACATGCTGGCCAGAGTTCCTTCACCTACGTTTGGTCTTTTCATAGTGTCTCATAATTTCCTGGGTGTTTTGTGCCAGTAACTTTCTATATTTAACATTTTCTTTAACATACATATCAGTTTCCTCTACTGTATCTTCTACACATGAGATTCTCTCTTTCGTCTCTTGTATTCTGTTGGTGAGGCATTGTATATGTCTGTAGTTCATATTCACTTACCTAGATTTTCCATCTCCAGGATTTCCTCAGTTGAGTTTTCTTTATTGCTTCTATTTCCATTTTCAGGTCTTTAACAGTTTTATTCATTTCCTGGATTTCTTTAAAGGACTTATTCATTTCCTCTTTAAGGGTCTCTATCATCTTCGTAAGACTTAACTTAAAGTCATTTTCTTGTGTGTCAACTGTATTGGAATGTCTAGGGCTTCCTGTAGCAGGATAGCTGGGCTCTGGTGGTACCATATTCCCCTGGCTGATGTTGACTGTGTTCTTACACTGTCCTATAGTCATCTAGGTTTGGGGTGATTATCAGTTTAGACATTGGTGTTTGAGTTTATCTTTGTTGGATGAATGGTTTTGGATGTTTTCTCCCTTGGTTTCTATTTCCTCTCTGGTCTTTTCACCTGAATGACCTGTAGTTCTGGTGATCAGAGGTTTTGGCCACCTGTGTGGCCTCAGGGGTTCCAGGTAATGATTTTATCTCTAAGGTTCCTAATACCAGCTTGGCCTCTAGCAGAAGAAGAGTCTTTAGTCCAAGTTGTGGGTCAGAATATGGAGCCCAGGGGAGGGGGTACTGTTGGGGACTGCTGTACCAGTTTTAAGGTGTGTTAGCAGGCAGTGGGCAGGGTCTTACCTGGGGCTTCTAGTACCAACATGGTCTCTTGTAGAGCAGGAGTCTTCTGCCAGAATTGTGGGCCAGGATATGGAGCCCAGGAGAGGGGCCCTTCCAATAGTCTTGCTCTTAAATTCTTCATCTTCTGGGATGTTCCCCGAACCTCCAAGTGGGAGATGATGGGCGTGTTAGATGATGTAGAAACTTTGGGAAACTGCCAAGCAGTTTCTTTGTAAAATTAAGCACTGACTTAACAGAACATGTTATACGGATTTTTAATTAAAAAAATAAAATAAAAACCAAGAGAGATTGTTCATGAGGTAACAGCACTTGCTGCAAAGGTACAATGACCTGAGTTCAAGTCCCCAGCATCCACATAGGTAGTAGGCATATCCATATGTGTACCTTAATCCACAGCCCTATGGGATGTAGGGACATGTGCAAGGCCGCTTGTTCAATTCCCAGATGCCCGGACTCCCGAAATAATCACACAGAAACTATATCATGTGCAATACTGTTTGGCCAATTGCTTAAGCATATTGTTAGCTAGCTCTTACATCTAGAATTAACCCATTTCAAATATTTTATATTTTACCATAAGGCTCATGGCCTACCAGCAAGGTTCCAGCTGGCAGCTTGTGTCTTTCCCCTCTGGCAGCTACGTGGTGTCTCTCGACTCTGCCTTCTTTCTTCCAGCATTCAATTTAGTTTTCCCCGCCTAGCTCTACTCTACCCTGTCACAGGCCAGTGCAGATTCTTTTTTCATTAACCAATAAAAGCAACATATATACAGAAGATCTTCCCACACCAGGGACATGGAGAAATCACTGGGAGTTTCTAGCCTCTAGTCTACCCCTAAGCTCAAGGAGAGACCCTCTCTCAAAGTAACAAGGTAGAAAGTAACAGAGTAGGGAACTCAGTGTCATCCTCTGACCTCCACACACATCAGCACAGGTGTGTGCACTGGCATATTTATTGGCACAAATACCACACACACATATGTACACACAGAAACTAGATGGCTTATATTTTTTGTTTATTTTTTTTGAGACAGGGCTTCTCTATAGTTTTGGAACTTGTCCTGGAACTAGCTCTTGTAGACCAGGTTGGCCTCAAACTCACAGAGATTCACCTGCCTCTGCCTCCCAAGTTCTGGGATTAAAGGCATGCACCACCACCACCTGGAGGCGTATACTTTTTTTTATAATGTGAAAGTTTCTATCAACCTTGACACTAAGAAACTAAAGCCTCCTGCCAGGAAGATGGCTCCGTAGGTGAAGGGCTAGACTTGGAAGCATCAGGGTTTAGGTTCAATCCCCAGCACCTATGTTTCAAAACTGGGTGTGGTGTCATGTGGTTGTAGCCCCAGAGCTAGGAGAGGAAGATAAGAAGACCCCTGGAGCTTGCTGATTGGCCAGCCTAGCCTAATTGTTGAGCTCCGGGTCTGGGAGAAACAATGTCTCCAAAAACCAGAGTGGATGGCTTTTGAAGAATAACACCTGAGGTTTACCTCTGACCTCCATACACATGCAAGCTCACATGTAGACTGTGACCATTACTTTTGGTCAACTTGACACAAAACAGAGTCTCCTGGAAGAGAGAACCTCAATTGAAGAGTTACCTCCAGCAAACTGAACTCTGAGCATGTCTATAGGACATTTTCTCAAAGATTGACGTGGGAGGCTTAGCACGCCATCAGTAGTGCCATCCTTGAGCTGGCCAGTCCTGGGGTTTGTAAGAAAGCAGGATGAACAAGCCCTGTAGAGCAAGTCAGTAAGCAGCATCCTCCATGGTCTCTACTTCAGTTTCTGTTTCAGGTTCCTGCCTTATGTTCCTACTCTGCCTTCCCACAGTGGTAAACAATAAACTGAGGTGAACCCTTTCCTGCTACAAGCTGATCTTTACCAGTGTTTTCTCACGGCAGCAGAGAAATAAACTAGAACATGTACTCACACACACATATGAACACACATGAACACACAAACACACACACACTCCACACATATTGAATATGTTCCATGTATACACTGAACCATACAAGACAGATAATCTATTGTTTCTAGACACTTTCAGCATGTTTTTGAGTTTTATCCATTCATACACAAATATGAGTAAATCATATAAATAAATATACATACATCAATGTTTTGCCCTTTTTATTGCTGAGTCATATTCCACTGAGCGACGGGACTCCAGTTGATTTATCTGAGTATATGTTGATGGATGTACAAGGTTCTGGCCTTTTTTTTACTGCCAGAAGAGGGCACCAGATCTTATTATGATGGTTGTGAACCACCATGTTGTGGCTGGCAATTGAACTCAGTCAGTGCTCTTAACCTCTGAGCCCCTTGATGGATGTTTGGATTGCTTATGGTGTGAATTAATATAAACTAAGCTTCAGTTCTTTTACAGTTTTCTATTGCTATAAAAAAACACTTGAGACTGGTCATTTAGAAAGAATAGAAATTTACTTGATTCTGGGAAATTCAAAAACAGGGTGACATCTAAAAAAGGCTTTTATTAGATTTATTTATTCATTTATATTGGGGTTGTATATAGGTTATTATGCATACATGGATTAATTAGAGTGTTCATGGAGGCCAGGAGGGGGCATCAGAGTTACATATGGCTGTGAATCAAGTATTGTGGGTGCTGGGAACTGAACTCTGGTCCTCTGCAAGAGTAGAAAGTGATCTTAACCACTAATCATCTCTCCAGCCATATATAAGGGCTTTGTTATTCATGATTTCACCTGTTTTTTTCATTACTCAAAATACCTAAGGCTGGACACATTATAGAGGGGGAAAAGGCTGAAGTGGTGGTTCGGTAAGGAACGTGTTTGCTGTATAAGCATGAGGACCTGAGTTGAGATCTCCTGGACCCACATAAAGACCAGGCACATCAGCGCACATCTGTAACCCCAGTATCAGGGAAATGAAATGAACGGATCCTGGGAGTTTGCAGCCAGCTAGTCTCAGCAGAATGGCAAGCTTCGGTTCTCAAAAAAATAAGGTGGAGAGGGAGTGAAGAGAACACCTGACATTGACCTCTGGCTTCCATGTGTACCTATATGTATAAGTGTGCCCATGCACACATACACACACACACACACACACACATGTTCACACACACACATACACGACAAAAAAGCATAAGTAAATAGATACTAAAAATTGAATTTTTGAAATTTCCATCAAAGTAAAGAAGCTTGTTTTGCATATTTTGTGAAGGTTAAAAGTCCAAAGAGCATGGTTCAGCCCTGGTCAGAGTTGCTGGGCCACATCACATCGTGGCGAATAGGGTCATGATGGGAATGCATACATCAGTTACTTCTCCCAATGAGGAGTTGGAGAAAGGATTTATCCTGGCTCCCAGTTCAAGATGTCAGTGCAGCATGGTGGGAAGCTCATGGCAACAGTTAAGGCAGTGAGGTCCACTGGTGATCAGCTCACTCTCTACTTTTTATTCAGTCCAAGAGCCGTGCCATGGAATGGTGTCACCCATATTCAGAGGGGGTCTTCCTACTCAGTTAACTTGATCTAGAAACCTTCCCACAGACATGCCCAGAGCCTTGTCTCCTGACCACTTCTAGGCCCTTTCAACATTCAAAGGCAACCATTACAGTCAATGCTTAACTTTACAAAGAAACTGCCAAACAGTTTCCCAAAGTTCCTTCATCATGCAACACTCCCACCACCTTTCCCTTGGAGGGTCAGGGAACATCCCAGAAGATACCGAATTTAAGAACGGAAATACTAGGAGGAAGGCTATAAAAAGTTGTCTTCTTGACATCACGGCCATTGTAATCAAGACCTCACATGGTAGTCGTGACCTCACACTGTAGTCGTGACCTCACACTGTAGTCATGACCTCACACTGTAGTTGTGACCTCACACTGTAGTCATGACCTCACACTGTAGTCGTTACCTCACACTGAAGCATGACCTCACACTGTAGTCATGACTTCACACTGTAGGAATGACCTCACACTGTAGTTGTGACCTCACACTGTAGTCATGACCTTACACTGTAGGAATTACCTCACACTGTAGGAATTACCTCACACTGTAGTCATTACCTCACACTGTAGTCATGACCTCACACTGTAGGAATGACCTCACATTGTAGTTGTTACCTCACACTGAAGGCATGACCTCACAGTGGCAGAAGTTATCCACCCTGGGCCTGCCCAAGACTTGGCCTGTCAATAGTCAATCATAGATCAAGGGGTACTCACAGAGCCCTATCACTCCCTGCAGAATTTATTAGCTTTTGTCAAATTCTGGGGGAGAGGCAGACATCACCCTCAGTGACACACTCACCTCTGAGGTCATCAGGACCCAGTGATTAACAGTGCCAAA